GGATGGGGTTACATTCCCCCTGAAATCTCAGGTCTACAGCTTGGATGTACACATAGATGTGTTCATTTTGGCAATTGGCTAAGAGTGCATTTGTATAGATAGTGTGCCAGCTGTGCCCATTCCTGGAGATGTCACATAGGGTATGGGAGCACATCTTGATTCTATCCCATTTGGATTAGTGTATCACTCTGTATGTGGGGCCTTTGGAAACTGGAAGCTATAGCACAGGGGTAGGCAACCTTTCCCCTTTAAGGGCCGAGGGACTTTAGCTCCCAGAAGCCTCAGCCATGTTGGCCAATAGTCCCATGTTGGCCAATAGCTCCTGGGATTCTGGGAGCTGAAGTCACTCGGCCCTTAAAGGGGAAAGGTTGTCTACCCCTGCTATAGCAGATCAAAACTGCCCGGGCTAGGCTGCTGACAATGTGTTGTTACAGGGAGCATATACCCCCTCCCCCAGTTTGTAACAGCTACTGATCCATTTCCAGACAGAATACAGTGTGCTGGTTATGACCTTTAAGGCTCTACATGGCTTGAGTTCAGACTATATAAAAGACCATATCTTCCTGTATAAGCTGGCCCAAATTTTAAGATCTTTAGGGCAGGTTTTTCCTCAGACCCACCACCATCACAGGTGAGGACATGTGAGAGAGCCTCCTCAGTGCACCCAAGCAGTGGAACTCCCATCCACTGGAGTTTTTCTTGGCTCCCTCTCTTCTGCCTTTCTGACAACAGGCAAAGGCCTTTTAATTTAGCCAGAGCGTCAGTGCTTAGATTATGAGGCTGGAGGGTGTTCTGAATGTGTTGTGCTCTACTTGTATTTTTAATTATGTTTTAAACGTGTCTTAAACTTTAAACAATGTACTTTTTAAAAATAGAACTGTTTATTTATTTTATTTAATTGTTTTTCAACTTTTATGAATAAGATTTTAACTAGACTTTGTTTTAAATTTTTGTAAGCCATTTTTTAATCCCTTGCCTCCTATCTTGGGAGATATACATTACATAAATAAATTTTTAAAATAATCTAAAGTAGTTATTAAGATCACAGATTATATCACAGAATTTTTCCAGTGGAAATTAGCAGAATATTAGCAGAGGTAAACCAGGAACACTGAGGGACATTACCCGGGGGGGGGGGGGGAAACAATTCATATTGTTTGTGTGCAGCCAAAACAAGTAGATTTACTTCAGAAAACTATCTGTGAAATGTTGCTTCCTCTCCTTTTGGATCACCCCTCCTTTTGGATCACCCCCCTTTAGTATTGCTCTCATGTTACACACATATATCTTTAAATCTTTCCTTTTTTTTATTCTAGGGGCTACTTAATGGGTTAGTGCCTTGTTGTGATTGCTGTGAAGCACAGATTGGATTTGCTTTTACCTGTGAAGAGGAATAGATAATAAAACCTCCAGAGCCCCAAACATCTCTCTGAAAAGACAAGAAAAAAAGAGAGTGGACTAAGGACAAGACTGCTTTCTAATTTCTTATTATATAAACAGCAACATTTGTTTCATACAATTGGTTTAACAGATTTGTCTATTTTTCTTCATTGTGAAAAAAAAAGTTATATGGAAGTGTGTCACTGATACAAATGTAATTGCATTACAAAGTGACAACACTGTTCTTCATCTATTCTCTCCTTCCATTATACAAGCTAAAAGCTTTTTATACCATGCCTTGGTTTGTCTCCTCATGAGAGAATAACTTCTGTAAATTGGAAGGAGGGAATAATAGATTTTTTTATATGTCAGTACATTGGAAATAAGAGTTTGTCATCATTGACCACCATGACCCAGAGCCAAAAAACTAATGATAGCAAGTGGCTTTGTGTCCATCATTGGGTAACTTAGTCCAGCCTGACAGTGCTAATCACATTTTGAGAACATGGAAGCTCAGAAAGAATTGGAAAATGGTGGAGAATACTCCACCCTCCCAAATAGATGGTGCTGTAGTGTAGAATACCTTGCCTGGTGCACGGAATGGGAAGGAGCATGGCCTCATTTAAGTTTGGATGCTGAATAATGTACACGTTCCTTTGAAAAGGCAGTGAATCTGGCCTGTTCTTGCAGATGATTTTGTTTCTCTGTATTGGGCCATGTGCGTTCTGTCAAAGACATGTCTTGGGCAACCTTACTTTTGACCTGCATACTAGTAAACACACGTGCAATGGAAAGTGCATATGTAATACATTGAGATTGAGAGAAATGTGCAGCATTATGTGAAAGTAGTTCTTCCTTTTCAAAAGAATATATTAAAAATATGACATATTAAACATCTTTTCTACTAAATTACGATGAGTGTTTTCTCTATTGGCTGGGTAGATGGGAACTGGAGATGAGAACTGGAGGTGAATTTCCACACTGATTAACTCACAAATAATGATCTGTAGGGTGATCAGAGTAATGACTGACATAACTTGTTCCTTTTTCAAAACTGACATTCCATGCTCTAGTGCCAGACTGGCTAGGTAGATGTGAATTGGCAAAGGACATGACTGTTTCTGTGCATTTGTGAAAGATGGAAACTGAGACTAGCCACCTGTCCTTTCAGAGACACAAAAGCAACAGTAATAGTAGCATGTTAGCAAGGAGTAACCCAATCAGTTGCTTTGTGGACATTAGCACCAGTAACAAATAATGACTAACACAACTAGTTCATTAAAAAAAAACTTCCCCATCTCTTGTTCTCTGGTTTTGATGCAGGAGTTGGAACAACAGAAGAAAATAAAACCTTGAGAAAGATGATTGCAGAAGCACCATGGCACTAAATTATGGTCTCTCAGCACTTCTTGCTGGAACTGCCCAGCCAGAATCACAAGTACATTGATGTGTCCCTAGTCCCCAAATTGTACAGCAGTTCAAGAGGGATACATGATGGTGAACAGTGCTGGGAATTTTTGGGAGATTGTAGATATTTGGTGCTTCATGTAAATAGATACTAGAAAGAAAAGGAACACCAGAGGACTCAAAGATGTGGCGGGCATGAACATTGTTGCATATCTTTCTCATGTTCCCACTCTTCTACTTGTAAGTCAGTTTGTGCTCTAATCCTGAACATAATTACTTAAGAGTGAGTAATTGCCTATTGCTGAAAGGTGTTTGACAGCAGATGGTTCCACTTGATTCTGCTGCATAGTTACCTGTTTTCTTACAGACTGGCCTGTATTACTCTTGGAAGTAAATTGGCTATTGCCATGGCCTTTGTGGCTTGACCCTCCCACTAAACTTGGTGATGTAAGTAGTTGGTATTTCTAAACCTACCAGGCTTTAGTTCTTTGGCTGATTTTTTTTAAATTGCCTTTCTGCCTTTCTGTAAAATTTATTTAATGGTGTGCCACAAAATAAAAGAAAATGAAAGAAAATGACAACCTTATAAAACCATTAAACTAGAAGCCATCCTTAAAACAGCAACATTACCAAACACAATTTTAAGTAATAAACCTGAGACGAGATGCCATATTTATCAATACAATTAAAAAAATGTAGCCAGATCAAAATATGTGAAAAAACAAGCGTTTGAGCCAGACACTGAAAAGAGGATGACACCTTTTCCTTTCTGCATACATACTATCCCAGATCTGACAATGTGTGTGCGTGTTTTGGTATAGGAGTAGAGAGGCTTTCAGGTATTTGGGTCTCAAGCAGTTTAAGACATCAGCAATTTGAATTTGGGACTGGAAGCAAACAGGCAGCCAATAATAAGTCCTTCAGAATTGTTATATCTCCAGATAATTGAACCAGGCAATATTAACCATGCCTGTGAATTCTGTACTGATTGAGTCTTGTGTGTTGTCTTCAGAGGCAGATCTATATATAATGAATTATAGGAGGGTTGGAATCATGCGGTCCTCTAGATGCTAGCTATGGCTGCCGCTGCACACTTAATCATTCAGGGGGCATACAACTCTATTGCTGAATAACAGTAGAGTGAAACCACCTCTCTGAGTATTCCTTGCCTAAAAACCCTATGAAAAATTTATGACATTTCTATAAGTCGACGGGACCTGAAGACACACACAAAGGCGCACACACACACAAATATAAATGACAATGTCTCAATTTTTCCCCTAGAGACATTTTAAATAAAACTGAATCTTAGAATCTTGGTCCTTGCATATCTTACATGAAATAATCCCCTTGTGCCATGGACTTTTGAATTGTGCTTTACAGTATAGACTTGTAAACTTTTTTTTTTCACTTCATGAAGATGAGTAACTTCACCTACCTCTAATTTGAACTAGTATGTGACTAGTATAGTATAGACCAGGGACCGGCAACCTACGGCCCGGGGGTCGGTTAAGGCCCCAGGCCCCGGACTTACCGGCCCAGGCCAAAGGTTGCCACCGCTGCGCGCTGCCCTCGGGGCGCGTTTTTGCCGCTTTGCAGCCGCGCTTGCTGTGATCGCCATTTTGGAAGTCAAAATGGCG